GGAGATGAAATTAACAAACAGATTTAGTATTTTAAGCATCAGAGATCATCTCAAAAAATGTATTAATTTCAGGCATATAGCATATATATAGTAAAAGCATATTAAATCATCAGCATAGATATATACCGATACTGTAAAATGACTAATTTTCACTGGGTTTAAATTTTGCTGATTTACCATTTCAGGCACATTCAGTGAGTTTTAAATTCACGGTTTTATCATTTAGATAATGTGTTCTATGCTAAATTTTACATATTCTCTGGGTTTTAATTCAGTGCATTTTTCAGTCAGCGAAATAAGCAAAATTAAACTCCAGTGAATAGTTAACCCCTTTACAGTATTCCATCATTCATCTAAGATAATTATAATATTGAATGGAATTGACAAAACATATCTAATGCTTAAATTTTGAACTGAATACACATAGTTACAGAAGCATTAACAGATTCTGCAGATAAACTCAAAAACATACAAACTTAATAAGCACATACCTTTGTAGAAGACGCCCATAAAGCCCTTCTTGTCAGATAAAAACCACTGTTTCAATTTAGGAACTCTCTTCATGTAGGCACAGGTGCATATAATGAGTAGTGCCAACACTAGGAGACCGTCAAATGAATAAACTGTCAATAAATAGTACAATGATTTAGTGCAATGATGGATTTACGAAACATGTATACATGATACATCACTGTCTTCCCAGTGGTAAATTACCTCTATATTTAAGCTGTCAAAGGGTCCTGTTGTGCTAGCTAGAGAGGTGTTGAAGAAAGCATAGAGGGGTGTAGTTTATACCTAAAAACCATGTAGTTATGGTGACAGGTGACAGGCAATAGACACTGGGACGATTGCTGTAGTATGGCAAACTCCATTATTCCAATATATTTCAGATAACTGAAGTGTTCTTAGGAAGGGCATATACAATTAAATATTGGAAGCGTTTGAAAGTAGGGATAGGGTTAGGGGTGGGGATACAAAAGGAACTCCAAATACATTTTCCAAATAAAATTTTGTCATAGATACTAATGTGGAGAATATCTCCTGATTTGGAGATATTCTCCTTTTCGGGAAAAAAAAGTGTCTTGCTCAAGTTGCAGACATAGATTCGTTATTTACATTTGTTTTCGATTTTTAGAAATTGAAACAATTGTACCTGAGTTTAATAAAGATGTTTACAAACTGAACATCATGATCAAATAGAACTGCAAACCATGGTTACAAGCATTATGTAATTCACATATTAGCAGGAACCATCATGGTCCACGTTGAATGAAACGCTGATGAATTAAAAAAAAAGTGAATGGTATTATACCGTCAAATGTTGTTTTACCTACCGTTAGTCATTGTTCGATTTGGGTCACTGGGTCTGTAGTATGTTATCTATACATGTGGACTTGAAATGTGAGTTCATATGTCCAAAAACGCTCAAAATCGCCGAAAATCAACAGAAGCCTAATGTTTACGTGTAAACGGAAACGGCTATAGACATTACGTTGAGAGAATTCTGGGATGGGGTCACCGTATGCAAATCACGGTCAAAAAAATCAGCAACTTGTTTCCAGCTGCCGAAGTCAACACACTCTGGGTCTGTAGTCTGCGAGTAATCGAGATCGATTCCGCCGCGAAACTCGTCTTGCAATTTCACTGGCTGTTGTTTTACACGTCGGACTAATGTTGTGCTTTTAAACTGTAACGGAAACGGCAGAGATAATGGAACTTTACGAGGCCAAGTTCGACTACGAAAAGGAGCGAGACGATGTTTTGAGCTTCCGGAAAGGTGACCAGTTCGAAATTACGCACAAGCCCGACAGTAAATGGTGGGCTGCCAAACGAGTTAGTGACAACGCAATGGGATATGTACCAGCCTTGTACCTACAGGTAAAACATTAACACTCAAATATAAGACTAAGCCGCAAAAGAAGTGCATATTGTCACTCAGCATTGGTAGAAATATATAAGGGAATGTCTTTTTTTTCTACAATTTTGGCGTCTTTTAATAATATTCCCGTAGATTCGATATCGTTTCCGTAATTTTTCTTCCAGCACACCAAAGACCGCGTTGTTGGTAGATTAATACCAGAAGATATACGAAAATCGGTAAATATTTTGTTTATTGTTGTGCTTGACTTGATTCAATTATTAATTATATCCCCCCTTCTTACCACCTTGGCCCCTCCCTTTTATTTCCAGCGTAATACCATTGCTGTCTTCTCTCATTAACAAACTTATCTTTTCAGCGACCTGCATATCATGTTTTGGTTAGTTATTACCTAGTCGTTGTTACAGTAGAAACTATTCAAGAACACTGGTATATTGATACATAGTGGGTGGTTTAAATAAACCACGTATTTTCACTTTTACAAATGTGCACATTCCATAGTAGCACTACCCAGCCACATACTACATACTTATGTGTCATTTAGTTTGTACTGTCAAGACCGACATACGGATACAATAAACATAATATTTCAACAGAACTGAGGCATGTTAAACAGTTCTGTCTGCCTGTCACTGGGGCAGTCAAGGCCCCCTCAGAGATAGATTCCTGATACAAAGATCTTTTATCAGCACTCTGAGCGTCTATTGTATTGTGTAAAAAAACATGAGTCAGAAACCATCGAAATTCAATGAAAGTATTCTTTTGTGAGAAATGTCTTTAAAGCGAGTACAGAAAATAGCTATTGTAAAATCTATAAGGTGCCACATCTAGTAGTAGTATATTCTAGGTGTTTAAATTAAAACAAAAAAATGTGTCATGCAGACTTACTTCCTTGTGTTGGTACACAGCAAAAACTACTGTGCATACATTTTGAATAATTTATGGATAAATACTAATTGCAATTACATGTAGAGGAAGTCAGGTGATGGTGTAAATCTGTTTTCAGGAAGTAAGTGTTGATAAATGACATTTATAACAAAAGGGAAAGAATTATTATCTTGGGGGGGTCAATTTATTTTAAGAACTATAATACACGATTTATTCATTATGTTGAAATGCCCGGCAAACTTTTGCATATTTTAGCAATAATCAGTTTATATTTTATTTCAAAATTGCAAATACCAGACTTGAATCGGTATGTAGGTATATTTAACATGCTTCTAGTTGCATAATTCTCTTCTTGTATATGCTTAAAAAAATCTAAAATATCTCATGGTGAGACATCAGAATTGGATATGATTTATTTACTGTTGATTTACTTATTACAAGGCTTATTTTAGTATTATCGGTATTTATTCGTTTGTGAGTGTTATTTCAAATTTATGCACAACGTAATGCCTTCATCTGAGTTGGATTTAATTGGGCATGAAACTAAGCAACATCAGACTTGATTCCTGCTCAGTAATTTATTATGTAATACAGAATGAGCATTTATCAGTAATCCTGTAATCAGTTTGATTAGATGCTGTGAACCGTGAGAATACCTGGCTTTGGATTAGATTTTCGGGGTCTGTTGTATTTTGTACGCATATTTGTTTATTTGCTTCAGTAGACCAGCAGGTCATGTTTTTTTATCATGTGTGTGCATTACCCAAGTGAATTTGTCTTGCCATAAGTGTTTATTATTGTTGTCAGTATAACACTGTCAACCTTCTTAATGCTGGCTTTTTCTGAATGTAATATTATACCTTGTATACTGTGATATACCATACCCAGCTTGTATTTTAGGTTCACAGTTGTTGTAATTTATATTATTGAAATAACAAATTAAGCCCTTTGCCCTTCAATTAATAATTAACTGCATACTATACTCACTTAATTTGATTTATATGCACCAGAGTTATTTTCAAATTAACAATTTTTGTAGTGGCATTTGTTTTCAGTTCATTGTTAAATTGAAAATTTATATATAAATTAAGATATAAACATATTTATTATGAAAGATAACAATTTAAATGTAAAATAAATGAAGGAAATACTAGTACTACTGTATTTGCTCTATTAGAGTTGCATCTCCAGTAGAACATGAACCAAAAAGTGCATTTATTGTATGGTGGATCATTAAATAATAGTAAAGACACACCTCTCTCTCTATATGTCATGTACACATGCACTACTAATAGAGCAAATATGATGTATGCTGTCTCTTAGAGGGCTTGGGCACAGCAGGCAAAGAGTTTGCCTGGACGCTATTCGAAAATACAGTTTTTTCTATACTATTTTTATATGCTAAAGCAACTTTCTCATATTTTGTTTTAAAAATGGGTGCCCACTCTATTCTGAAGGTCAAACCTTGCTGTAAGGTACATATGATTTTGGAATGGACCTACTTACTGGTGCTCATACTTGAGTGTATGTGTACAGATGTTATTTTTGAGAACATGCATGTTTGTAATTAGTCATAATCAAAATATTATTATTCTACGTATGCCAGGTATGAAAAACATAATAAATCATTGTTATGGTGTCCACCAGTGCCTTGATGGGGTAGGCTTTTAAAGTTGTTTGAATTTCTAGGTAGCTATGTAAAATTATTTTGTTTGCATTTGTTTCCACCCCATGTTATAGATAGTAGTGAACTTTTTGCATGGAGCTAAATGTTTACTATGCCGGTATTGATTGCTTGTAAAATATTTGTCCAACAAACTGACAAGTACTAAAGGCAAACTGTCACCTTGAAATACTGTGCTATTCTATTCACAATGTTTTAAGCAGTCACTTTGCTTTTATTTAGTTGTTTATAAATGTTTTATTGAATCCAGTTTATAGAATCTTAAAATTCAAGGATCCGCTATTCTTGATGTAAATAATACGCTATTGTGAAATTTAACCAACATGTACAGTGGTATATAATTAAATGACACGTGCCAATCATTCTGATTTTTTACACAAAATTAATGTTAACAATAATAATGATATTAATCCTGTCTCTTTTTTTTCATATTAATAATGCAAGTTAATAATCTTTTATTTTGACCGGCTGTTTACATGTTGGAAACAACGGCTGTTTCATACATCCAATAAAAAAATAATGTTGACCTAGATATGTAAATAGTATACCAATGAATGGCAAAGGCATAATTTTGGGACTCAAATATAAATTTTAAACTTGAATCCTGTTTAGTTATATTTGAAACTTTAGATTCAATAAAGAAAGGGATTTCACTGTTCTTTCTGAAAAGCCAAGGGATACCAATTTTGTTTTTACTTTTTAATCCCTGTATTCTTGTACCAAACTGTCTTTTGTAGTACCAAATGAATAAACAGAGGGTCATATATCAGGTCACATGGCCTATTTCATGCAAATATCTAGAAATTATTTTTATGAATTCTTCCATAAATTATTAAACTATTGTCATATGTGTATAGCCTAAAATTTTAACTTGTGTGTTTTCATTAGTATTGCCATGGTCATTATTTACTTACTATTACTGTATTTACATTGTACTTTATTCATAGTTTATGCACTTTCCTAAAATACAGAAGTGCATCTAGACTTGCATACAGTCCCTTGTTTATTTTTGGTCGTTTTTGTCTATAAAATACAAATTTTATGAGAGTGTATAAATGGTGATAACCCGCTTTTTACAGTAACTCAGCTTTCACCATTTATACACTCCCATAACATTTTATTTTATTGAAAAAACAACAAAAAATAAACAAGTGACTGTATCCAAGTCTTAGGTGCATCTATGGTCAATATCAGTAATATTTGATTGATTCAGTAGAAAACAAATTTGATTTTTGGTTTATATGCACTTTTATTGAAGATGAATGTCTAATATAAAAAATATGATATATGGATTTCAAAAATGAAAAAAAAATTCGACGCAGCTCATGTACCTTTAAATAAGGTTCAATTAGAAATTTTTTGTCTATAGATTGAGAAATGTTTAACATGTGCCTAAAATAACCCTGATACAGATTACAATGTAATGAAAATGCAAAACATCTACACCATATCTGATGATAGCAATTAATCATTGTCATTAATATTATAATGTACTGTCATATAATAACGAAGCTATTTAGAATTTATGATGATAAATTGAGCTACTCACACCTGGACCCTGACACAATTCTTTATTATGTATTGTAAATAACATAACATAAAATTTGAAAATTATTCTGCTTGTGTGATGAAAATAAAAAGATGCCCCTATGGCCTTTTCACTTTTTCTTTTATTTCTATTTGACACTTTGCAACGTGTAATACATTCAATTGTACCTACATGTTCACTTTATTTTACTGTAAGCCGTTTCGATGTCGCTAGGGACAAACCTTCTTGAATTTTTCGAGTCCAGAAGCTTCAACATTTTGTAGCAGTGAACATTTTATTGAGATCTTTAATTAAAATCAAGAAAAATTTATCATAGTGAAAAGTAAATGGTTAACAGTATCTAAATTGACTGTATCTGTAAATTGGAGCATTTACTAGTACATGTATTATAAATTTAAAAAAAAATTCAAGTACATGTTTTTAGCATCTATTTTGTTCTTATCACCCAGACTTATCATTAATCATATTGTATGCTATGTTAAACATGTGGAGTATTTATGTTCAGACATGCATGCATTTATGTCTAAATTATACTACATGTATTAAAAAAGCTCTGACTTCCCAACGCTTGTTGGTTTTCTCGATTTACTCGTACAAATATATATTAGTGATTATTGATGTAAAAAAGCAGTACAGTTCAATGAGTTGTTTTGAATTTTTTTGTTTTTTAAGTGTTACCGGTACTTTTATTTCTTTATTTGACATGTGTATATATCTGCATCATAGAGTGGTGTCAGTGATACTTATTTATTGTATCAGCCTTGTTAAACCTGTTACATATTACCCCCGGTAGTATAATATGAAAAATGGGAAATTGTTACTTGATACAATGATAATATGCCATGTGCAAAGAAGCACATGTGATACATGCCAGATGAAGTCAAACTGAATCATAATATGAATGTATTAATTAAGATTAGGTTCATATTTACTGGGTATATATATTATGGATGAATGCATTTATCGTTTAAATTTGTGTACTATATGATTTGATTTAAATATATTTACAGGAGATTACTGGAATGCTAATCTCACACGACTATTCTCATCCAAAAATAGGCCACTTTTATAAATATAAAAAAAAATGGCCGTTATAA